GGGAAATCATGTGAGCGAATCACGATTGGTTTTGGTTTTACCACTGATTGGATGAAAAAGTAGCGCAAGTTCTATTTTTAAATCAATCTCTAAGCGTTGAAGAGCGGTTTTCAATTGAGTGTCGTAAAACGAAAACCAAATCAAGATGACCAATCAAAACTCGAAATAAATACATCCAGCCGAAGCAAAACACGGGAAAACGTGTGCGAACGTCGGCTGATGATTGTTTTTGGTTTTACTTCTGATTGAATTATGTAATGTGAGGCGAGTTTTGTAGACTAAATCAAATCGTTTATTGTAATAATGCAACCTGAATTACTAAAGCAATATGCAAATTGCTTTCGACCGTTCAAGTAAAACCGTTCTAACGGAACTGTTACGAAATACAATTTTGAAAAAAAATATAGTGGTGGTAATAGTGAGGTAACCTAAAGAGAAGCCAGGCCTACAGGAATGGAATGATTACAGAAGTAATCTAGAAGCTGGTTAAAACATCTGCCTCACAGATACTGACAATAGTTTGTTCAAGAGTTTGTGAAGTCTCCGGTCGAGGAGGAGGTGGGGGAATGGTGGTGGTGAGGAGGGGGATGCTTGTGTTAGTTCCCGTCCTAAATGTTTTAGCAGGGCTCATTTACTGTGCGATATTTTTTTTTTTACACAGACTCAGATCATGCTGGTCAGAGACAGCACTGAAAAGAAGAAGTTCCTTTTATGGGAGAGTGAAGAAAACGAATTTGAGACTATTTTTAAGGTATTACTAAAATGTACATGGAATTGATTATAACAAACTAGGCAAAAAGGCAATGACGAGATTTGCCTCATGTTATAGTAAAATGTTTTTTTCGTTTTCAAACTCTCGTTATGTCGCTTCGAGATGGCGGGGTTTAATTATATAAACGAAAATAGAGAACAGATCGCAAGAGGGGTTTTTAGTTCAACTTTTGTCCTTTCCGTGAGAACTTGTCCAAGCCCAAGTGACTGCTAATCCACTTCGTTGTTAGAGCAGAAGAAATTTAGTAAAAAAAAAGTCATTTCCATGGACAGTAAAAGGATCGGACAGCAGGGAGACTAATCCCACCCAACGTGCTGGACCGGAAGATATTCAAAACTCCAAATAGAGGTTTTGCACGGCAGACATGTTGCATGGGAGGAACAAAGAAAATGTTTGCACTCGAAAGAACATTTTTTCCCATAGGAAAAAGAATCTATTGCTCCTACCATGCAAGAATCTATTGTTTCTGCCATGCAACATGGCTGCCGTGCAAAACCTTTATTTGAAATGCGGCTGATATATGTGTCCGTGGCCTATGCCTTTTAAATATATTGCTAGCCTGCGAGGAGGCTCTAATGTTTGGGTTTCGCACTCAAGCGCTGCCATATGCCGAATATCGCAAAGCAGTTTGAAGTTTCAATGATTCGATGCTGAAACGGCCTCCAGACTAAAAAGGTCCAGTTTTTCTGTCAGTTTTCAACCGCAAATGGATATTCCTTACACTTAATAAATCGTTTCAGGCTCAAATTGTAGTTTAACTTAAACTACAATTTGAGCCTGAAACGAAGTCTTACTTTTTTAAGAGCCGTTTGCGAATTCTTCGTCAGAACCTCAGAAAATCAGTAAAGCGATTTCTGTCAACCCAACTTGGCCAATTTGGGCCTTTCTTCTCTTATTCTGACCTTTTCAAAGCGCGTTCGCTTTTAAATTTACCGCTTCGTCGGTTCTGCGCGATGATTTACAGCCAAGGGAGAAAGCGTGCAAAAGTGGAAGTAATAACTTTAACCTAGCTCTTTGAAAGTATCTGGCAATTACATTATTAGCACAGGAGTACGTGTTATATTTCGTGCTGTAAGATATTTTAAAATAGGTTAATTCAACTTAAAATTTTGACTAGCTATCTCGCCATATATGCAAAAATGTTAGGACGGAGTAACTAAACGAGTGACAAAGATGAAACTCAGTGTGTTATACTTGTTTGTTTATTTCTTTTCTTGTAAGGAACTGAAGAATTCTGTTAATGCAACCATCCAGATTTCAGTAAACGCACCTGAACTGGGAACGAAGATCTTGAAAACATCAGGAATCAAAGATTTCGACATTTCCGAGGAGCTCGAGCGTTTACAAGAAAAGCTCTCAAATATAATATCTAATCTTGAAATAGGCGAGCTGAAAGAAGAATGTTTCCCAATCCCCAACAAGTTGGATTTAATCAACAGACATAGTAGAACCCTTCAAGAACTTTACACTAAAGTCACTGGCATGACGGGTGAAGCTTGTAAGTACGATGAATTAGTGAGAAGAAACTTCTACGACTTCACGTACCACAGTTTAAGAGCCGTACATAATGATCTGAGTGTACGAGCTGCGGACCTACAATCAGCAGAACCAACCATGAGAGAGAAGGAGAAAGAAACACTAAAAAGCCTATTATCATACCAAAAAGGCAGAGAAAAGCAAGTCGAGCATTTGGAAAAGTTATGGATAGGGCTTTTCTCACCGGTATGTAAATGCGAAACGATGTAAAAATAAAAGTAAATGACGCTTTTCTTCAGGCATATTACGTATTATAATCCATCAAATATTTTCGCTCGCGCGCGACTGGTCTTAACCCGTCATGTGACCGAATATTCCCCTGCTAAAACTGGGGAATATCCGAGGATATTCCTCAATTTTCAAAACTGCGCGTGTTGCGAAGAATATTTGAAGGATAATAAACACAATAGCCTCCATTTGGCGCAAAAATATGCTCGGATATTTGTCCTTGGACATTTGTTCCTCAAAGCTTACAGTTTTTCTCGAACTACGCTCTCGGAAAACCGTTCGCTTCTCGGAACAGATAATGTCCGCGGACAAATATCCGAACATATTTTCGTGCCAAATGGAGGCTACGGTTTATATCTTAGACAAGCAGCTGCTGACTGCTGATTTCTTGGTTCCTTATTCTCTTACTGAACAGTTCTTTATTCATAGTCGCAGCCATTTTCCTGTGCATCATCGTTGCTTTTCTTTCCGAAAACCGAATTACGACACGAACTTGGTTAAGAGTGAGATGTTAACTGAAGCGCGTGATAAAGGTCTGGTAATGAACTTATAAGCAGCTACTAAAAATCACAGCTAGCTTTTTTTCGTGGAATTCAAGTTCTTGTCTACAAACGCGGTCAAGTACACCTGTTCATGAAACAGAGACAATTTTTAACGAAAAAATACCATGACGACACTTCAGTAAGAGGTTCACAAAGGCAACATGAAGCTTTATATTTAAACTTTTCTACCTTTAGCTGTGACAGAGCAAGAGGGTAGAATGCCCAAGAAGGTCTTAGAATTGGGTGTGCTGTTTACATGAAGGTGATTTTTCAGCCCATGAAAAGGAGGAAATCTAGAGCCCTTCTCGACTGGCTATGTAAATGGAAGTCATTCCTGGTTAGCTGAAGCCGGCAGAGCGTGAGGAATGGGAGCCATGGATAGTTACAAGTGTAACAGTTACAATTAACAGTTACGATTTAACTGTCGAAGAAATTGCCTGGTCTCCAGGCTACTGGTGAAGTAAACTTATCGGGAATATTCAATACAAATATTTAATACGAAACTACTTTATCCCATTTTTACCCCAGCAGATTAAGAGCACACATTCGGAAGTCGCTTTAACCAAAGGAATCACAACCCCAAAGGTGAGATTGAAACCAACCAACAGCTGAGCCGTGTTGCGCCTAAAATATCTCCATCTCGCCTTTCTAGTGTTTTCCAGGTTCTTACTTATAGCTGCAGCCATTTTCCTAAGTCTCGTTCCATTTCTTTCCGAAAACTGAAAGAAGACTCCATCCTCTCAACGAGTAAGATGTAAAAGAGTAGGGGGGGGGGGGGNGTGTTAGGATTATTCTCGAAAGTTATGCAAGCCCTCGACTGTGTCTAGGGTTTGCACTGTCTCGGATTCTCCCAACCCCTCCCTCGTGTTTAGATGAGGCTATGTAAACTCGGAAAAAAAATCAGTTTCCATTTTTTTCCGGGAAGTGTACTTGTCAATTAGATAACATACCTTCGATTCTCGGACTGTACTGGAGTGAGTTTCAGGAAGAGGCCGACAGAGGCTAGGGGCATATAGCTGAAGAAGCTTTATATTTGAACTTTTTCTACCTTCAGCCGTAACAACCTCGTCCCCAGGGTCTCTCTTCCCCGCCCCCGGGAGCGACAGAAGAAGAGAGACCCTTAGAACCATGTTGCATTTGTGACAGAGCAAAAGGTAAATTCAGATTATAAAACGGGTTTTTCTACATATATCGGCGCCAAATGGTATGGTTTTTGAGTGTCTTTTCAGTCTGAAATAGTCTAATATACATTTTGACCAATTTGGTCTTAAATAGGGTATGTGTTTGAGCTCTGGCCTAGAACTGGTTGTGCTGCTAGCATGAAAGTAATTTTTTGTGCAAATAGGTTATTCCTGGTTAGCTGAGGCCTGCAGAGCGTGAGGCACTGGCGACAAGGAAGGACCATTGTAACTGTCGGAGAACCCTACAACACTACCTGGTTTCCAGCCTATTAGTGAAGTAAAGTTGTCTGGTATAATCAAGAAGAAATCACTTTCATGTTGACAGCATAGCCAATTCTAGGCCAGAGCTCAAAAACATACCCTTTTTAAGACCAAAGTGGTGAAGATTTATTCCCTAAAATACTTAACTACTCTATCACGTGATTGACATGCAGATTGTGAGGGCAAAATCGGAAGGCTCCTTAACCAAATGGAAGACAGGAGGAAAGGTGAGATTAGAACCAAACAGCAACTGAGTCGCCCTAGATCTCCCTTCTGGAGATACCCGGGAATGAAACTATATGTGATCACCCAATGAAAAACTCCTCTGTACACACCCGCACCCCCAAAGCAATCAGTTTTAAAATTGAACAGAAGGAACTTTTCACTTTCTCGGGAGTCAATCTCCACTGCATGGCACAGTAGATACAGTCAAACACCTATTATTATGGGAGGTGGCCGGCTAATAGGGGTTGAATTGGCCGCTTAATAAGGAGGTTATAAATAATTAGCTCGAAGCTTTATAGTAGGAACGTCTATTTATTCAAATAGAAATAGTTTGAAGCACTCTACACTGAAGTTTTTTTCCTCTCTCTCTCTTTACTCTGAAGTTAGTGTACTTTGAATATTTTTTACCGTCGGGTTTATAATTGCTTAGTGAACATGGAATCACGTCAAAACAATCATAGTAAACGTGTGCTTGAATGTTTTTATCAGCCGGCGTCACTGTCTATTTCGGACTGTTATCCGTCATCGCCTTTTCCAAAGCAAAGTCAAACCACGCATATAAAATTTTGGGTGGCATAGGGGTAAGGACAATAGAAAACCCTCATCGGGACGAGCAAAAGGTGGCCGCGGCCGCTTCATAGAGGTGGCCGGTTAATAGGGGTTTTATTTACAGCATTTTACTGACAATAATTTCGGAACTTTGATAACCGGCCGCTCAATAAGGGGTGGCCGCTTAATAGCTTATAGAGGTTCAACTGTAACCACATTATATACTAGTACAAGTTTAGTAGTTTTGGCCCACTGAACTTCACTGTAAATTTCTTTTGTTTTTCCCTTCAGCACGAATTTGCCTTGACAAAGCGGATATCGGAAGGTCCTGTGCTTGTCTCATTCTCGGAGGCTGGAGAGGAAAACTGAATCAGAGAATCCGACGTCAAGAGATATCATCATCGAGAGAAGAGTTTAAAGGTTCAAGGGAATTTGGTTTTGCCAGGCCATTCAAGAAAGCTCTTTCATAGGAAACAATTAAAAGCAATTTTGACATTCGCAGCATTACATGGTGACGAAGTCATTCTATTTTCTAACAGAGCCGCGGTACAAACTTTCCCAGGCCCTCTCCTCTATGGGGACGTAAAAACGCTCAAGGTTTTTTTTACTGTGTGCCAAAGTGGAATAGTGAAGTAGAATAACAAAAAAGATTATAATTCAAATTTGGTATAAAATATCTTCTGGTGCTTTTTTATTGTGAAAGCTGTGGCTTATATTTTACTTATATTCGAAAGAGACATATTCCCCCACGAAAGGCGGTGATGGACAGTAATTTGGTCAATAAATTGTCCATTCTTTCATCGCTGACTAATTACTACAACTGTTAAGAGGCTGGCACTCTCTTATGCAAGAAACACGATGCATCTTTCTTGCAATTTACTTTTTTAACAGCGCGGCCTATTGTGAGCGCGGATTTTAAAATGAGCCGTGAGTAGCGCTTTTTTTTGTCGCCTGTTTCCGGCTGAAGTGGAAAGAAAACTTAAGAGGTGGTTTTTGAGCGTCTTGAGTTGTGATGTTATGGCGAACTGGCCGAAACCAGGCGATGAAATGTGTAATGGAATAGCAAAATCAGCCGTTGTTGAAAGTTGGGTTTGAGATTAGGAAGGAAGGAGGAAGGATTTTTATGCACTTAACATTATTCTGGTACAAGATTTTTGTCCACTAAAAGTTGAAATTGCTCGATTTCCTATCGGATTTTGTCTTAATTTTTTTGTGTGGTTTTTGTAGTGTTTTATATGAGCCAGACTGAAAGTTTTAGTTCGAAGCACAGCGATGTTCCTTGTGACGTCACGAGCTCTGTGGCGATCACCGTGGTTTGTGAAAAGCGAGGATAACAAGAGAGAAATAAAAGCCAGTGTTTTTTAATCAACACTCTCTTCACTCTCTCCTTCTTTAAATCATAAAAGAGAAAGTACTCCTGCTGTTCTCGACTTACTTCAAATTTTGGTCTCCCTGGACACCTGGTGAAGCTTACTAGCGCATTATAACCAATCGAGTAGAGAAGATTTTCGCATGTTGCGAGGCGAGATAATACCGCACCGATCGCAATCAAATCGTCCAAGTTCAGTAGAATTGGTTCCGGCAAGAACAAGAAAATGACGACATATTCGTTCAAGCCGAGATACTGTAGACTCCAACAATTCTTCCGAGAAGTGCGACTGTGGCCGCCTAGACACATCGAGCAATGCGTTTCTCTGTGGTATGAGTTGACGAGCCAGGACTCTTGATCAGTTGTCATTTGACCTGCCAGTTACGAAGAAGATGGGCGACAAGGAGTCCACATCACCTGCAAGTCTTTTCGGGACTTGACGGAGAGCATTCAGGAGATTCTTGAAATTGTGCGTGAACTGCAGATCACAAGGGCCATGAACTGACCTGTTCAGCATTGTTCTGGCCCTCTAGTGATTCAAAAATAAATTTATCAGAGTTATTTTTGATCTGTTTATATTTGTGACTTTAACACAATTTTCTTCCCATGGTATTACAGTCCTAGTGTTGTCACTGAAAAGTCCGAGCACGCCTTCCGTGCCTATATTGAGAAACACTTGACACCTTCAGGGCTTGGCGGCTTGGCTCTGTAAAATGCTAACACAACTGAAAATAAGACACGTTGTGCATTTAAAACGCGGCGATAAATTTCAAGCTCCCGAAGACACGTGTGTTGTCGTTCCTTGGCATTTTTAGTGATATCACAAGGACTTCAAGAGTCAACTTCATGAAAACTATTCAATGAATTGCATTTGAAAGACCTGTATCTTTTTTGTCAGAAAATAATTGCACGAAACAATTAGAACTGGCCAACTGTGAACTTGATCACGCTGCGACCCTACAAGGACGGAAACGCGGAACAAGTTAAAGATTATTCAACGCAAACTGACCTCAAAATAATTTAGCTTTGAGAATTCTACTTTCCCTTAGCTCTAAAAGAACACAGCACGGTTAATTATGTCCTGTAACAAAGAATTTTCAGCCCATGTGGAAAAAAGCAATCTTGCACATGCGCAAGCGCACAATCTTGCACATGCGTTACACTGTCTCTAATAAATGTAAGAGAAACCTTTTTGGATCGCAGGTTATAGTTCTTGGGCTTTAGCTCAACCTGGAAGTTGACTACAGGAAATGTTTGGTGGGTTTTGGGAAGGTTTCCAGGTTTAGAAGGTTTTTTTTAGTAAATTTTAGGGGAGTTTTCCCTGCTCAGTCTCGCATTCATGCAAGCCAAGAATCCATTCGTTGCGCATGGCCAGTTAGATCTGGTAGTTCTTTATACCCGAGCGACATTGTGTTAAGATTATTCTGTTGTAGTTTGGACCAGTTGTTTTATAACTCAACAGCACAGATAAGTAAGTAAGTAAGTATGTAAGTAAGTAATTAACTTTATTTCAACTCGGGTTGATGAGGCTGATTAGGCCCCTAGCAATACAGTGATGCTAATATGCCGAGAAAAATATAAAAATATCAAAACAAAACAAAACAAAACAAAACAAACTAACCAAACAAAACAAAACAAAAAAAAAAACAAAACATACATGATCAATTAATGACTAACATTCGAACTATATCAATAAATGAATAAACAATAAACAGTCCCAAATCTTAAAATTATTACAGTGAATCATAGAAAACTGTACATAACAAATTTAGCTCTCTTACAGCATTCATAAATTCCTGAAGGATTGTCATTGAACGTAATTCATCCGGTAAAAAATTCCACACTTTGGCACCAATGAAAGTTGTAGATCGTTATCTGCATGCATGACAGGGGTCATTATGGGTGACTGAGTAAGGGAAAATTCCCTACTTCACTTTAAATCGTGTTAAGTTGACGTTGTATTATAATAACAAGGAAATCTCTTTCACTTCTTTTCCTTGAGATATGAAAACAAACTTCGCTCAATGTCTGTAGAGTTGACTTTCCTGTCATGATGCAGTGATTCTTGTTCGCGGAAGAAAAGTAAGAGTTTTGTTTAGAAGATAAATGCTTCGTGACTCGACAAACAAGGAAACACCGCTATATTTGCTGATCGATATTCCTGTTGCAACCGCCGCAAGGAGTCAGTTTCCACTCGGACATCTAGAGCAAGGTAGTTGTGCTAGACTTCAGTTGTTAGACATTTCCTCAGAATCGAATTCCGTTTAAGTTGCTGCCTTTTATTACCTTTTAAAAATTATCTTCATTGCCGCTTAAAAAAGTAACATCCCGCTCTCTTTACAGATTTTCAAGAGACTTTCATCCGTCAGCCACTGATGAAGCCATCTCCATTGTTGTTGCAAGCAAAGTAAAGTCATATCAGTGACAAAGAATGGCCGGTGCTCCTGAACATCGGGGTCAGAAGAATGAGTAAGAATCTTTCAGTTTATTTCCGCATGTATTTAACGGTATATCTTGCAGTGCCAGTAAGGGGGTAGGGGGGTAGGGAGGGGAGTTACATGGGAGGGGAGGGGAGAGGAGCAGAGGGCTTCGTGGAGCTTATTCATCACCTCGACGCAGCGCAAAAAAATTTTTTGGGATCACTTTCTTGGGGCCGGGAGCTTGATTAGGTAGCCGAGCCTTCTCATCACAAGGACGACAGCGAATGTTCAGCTGTACGTCAATGGACTGATTGCGTTGTTCACAAGTTGTTCGCTGGGAAGGGAGGGTAAGGGTAGAGAATTACATTGAGTTAGGGGCTTGGAAAAGACTTTGAATACATATCGATTAAGTTTGTAATTGCGCGGGAAAATATCGTGGTGAATGTTTATTTACTCACTTTGTTCCTTTGTTTTCTCGATTTATTCTTCGGCGATTAAATATCATTCGAATAGATCATGGATCCAAAAGGTATTATAAATCTAGGAAACATTGCTACTTGAAAAACGTTCTGCCGGCTCTGCCCTCGATGAACCATTTCTCGGAGGGCCTCTCTGGATTACAAGATGCAACTCGTAAAGATCTTCAGGTTTTTAAAATAACTCATTACTTTTTCTACGTGTAAGTCAATTAGTCTTCTGTTGAAACGAATCAAGTACAGTAGAGTAAGAATACAAAATTAATTAACAGGAGAATGCTACAGACAGGCAGTCACTGCATCACCATTCAATGAAGCTCAGTGGATTGTACTAGATTCCAAAACATTACCCCATTTCTTTATTATAAACATCACAAAAAAATACCTGATCCAAAATGTAATAGCAAACAGTAATTTTATTTTGTTAGATGCCTTAGTTGAAGATTTTAAGATATTTTAATATAGAACATACATATATTTTAATTGTATACTTGTTAACTAAAAGTCCTATTCTAAGATTGTTCAATGAAATTTCTGTTCTATTATAAAAACTATTTTAACATCCATTTGTCACTTAATCGTGAAACATGCGAGTTGTTAGACAGGCAACAGTTAAAGCTAAAAGCTAAAAGTGCTCTTTTATGATTTACATCATTAGGGGTGGCGAATGGTACTTCAGAAGCTCTGGGTCTCGTAAGATTTTAGTCGAATTTCAAGGGTCTCGCAGTCTCGTTTTTTAGCGGTTATGTGCGTCTCGCAGTCTCGATTTTTCTACGAAGCTGTCTCGGAGTCTCGATTTTTCGCAAGGCTAAGGGTCTGGAAGTCCCAATTCGTTCGTTTATCTGTTTTTATAAATGACGTCTTCTCTTCACTTGAAATTGAATTTCAATGAAGCAACTTAAAAGTTTTCCGAGAAAAAGTTAATTCTAACTTCTCCTTATTGTCTTAATTCCACAAAAAGGTACAAAACCTACCGCAACGTCCGTTTTGGCGCCAGAAAAACAATTATTTTTCCCTAGGATATCATAACGTAGTGTGTTATAATCGAATTTCCAGTTCCAGTCATTTCCAAGAAGCTGGCTTAAGGCTGTACAAGCTCATTCTAGCTCTCAACTAAATCTGGGGCTCGAATTTTAAGAGTCTGAATAGTCTGCAGAACAGGCGGATTAGCGGGTTCTAGCGCGATACACGAGCGCGCGCTCGAAGCGTGAGAGCAGGGTGGAAAAAGGCCGGGTACATATAAGGGCCCTGATGAGAGCCCGCTAATCCGCCTGTTCTGCAGGCTAGAGTCTGAACGTCTCGCGCTCGCAATCAAAACACTTTGAAGCCTCGGTCTTGCAATCTAAAAAGTCAAAATGTGTCGGGCTCGCAAAGAAAAACGCCTGTCTTGCCGTCTCGCAAAGTCTCGCATTTACCATTCGCCACCCCTATCATTCTAATACACTTTTGAAAATTGGTTTTATGTGGTTTGTGCTTAGTGTGTAGCACAGCACTCTGAATATTTCCTTAAACTGCAGTGTGAGACTGAACCAGGATTGGTTCGCCCAGCAGCAGCCCTTGTAACTAGCCTGCTTGGTTCAGATTAACAGCCATTTCCAGCAAGGACAGCAGCAGTGTAAAGGTTTAATAAGCGGAGTCTGAAATGATCGTATAAAACACGTAAATAGAACTTTCCATTGCCAGTCACATTATATTTATAAAGCTCATACTGTGATGAGTAGGCTTGAATACCAAATGTATCCAATGTTGTTTTGATCTGTACGCATGCATCAGTAGACATAATCACTTGCATGATCGGCGTTTTCAAATACTCAATTAGTTCCGCCACAAAAAAACCCGGCTACTTTGCGGACAAATCGACGTTAGAAGATAGCTAACTTAATCTTTCAAGAGAAAAGTTGCTCAATTTACTGGCCGCTAGGTAAAAACAGCTTCATCTTTTGCCAAATCACGCGTCACGCCAAACCATCTGCATCACACCAATCTTGTATTACTTGCCGATAAAGAAACGTTAAGGGCAGCCTCGCGTCAAATAAGAGATAAACAAACGTCAATCTAATCTAGTTTGTTTAATAAGGCGTCTGCTAACTTCGTATAGCTGGATCGCAGCACGGAAAACGGGAGGGGGGGAGGGAGATGGGAGGAGAGGAAAGAGGAACAGAGGGCTGCTCCTCTTCACTTTCTTAGGGTCGGGAGCTAGATTAGGTAGCCGAGCCTTCTCATTACAATATGACGGAGCTCGTAATGGACGAAAGCGAATGTTCAGCTGTGCCTCAGTGGACTGATTACGTTGTTCGCAAGTTGTTCGTTGGGAAGGGAGGGTAACGGAAGAGAATTACATTGAGTTGGGGGCTTGGGAAAGACTTTGAATACATAACGCATAAAAAATAGCAACAAAGTTTGTAATTGCGCGGGAAATTATCGTGGTAAATTTTTAATTGCTCGCTTTGTTCCTTTGTTTTTGCGTTTCTCGATTTATTTCTCCTGTGCTTAGTTATCATTCGAATAGATTATGGATCCAAAAGGTATTAGCTGGTATTATAAATCTATAAGAAACACTTGCTACTTGTATAGCGTTCTGCAGGCTCTGCTCTCGATGAACAATTTCTCGGAGG